AAGAAAACCAAGATGGCTCCCATCTCTCTTTCCCACAGCAGCTGAAATAGATAAATTTAAGGTGGACCAGAACTCTGAAATAAGAATTGTATAATTAACTGTAATTTTTTCCCCACCGTTTCTACTCCTTCATTGTCTCTCTCTCTACTTCCTTCCCTTATTCCTTAAATACCTGCTCCTCTGAATTCAGAATTCTATTTAGGCTTGATTTTAATGATTTATGCATATTTTTTTATAATTTCACATAGTTCTTCAAATTCCCACCTTTCCATAATGTCCAGTCCCAAAATTACAGTTAATTATACAATTCTTATTTCAGAGTTCTGGTCCACCTTAAATTTATCTATTTCAGCTGCTGTGGGAAAGAGAGATGGGAGCCATCTTGGTTTTCTTTAATGTCCAGTTCTAAAATTGCAGTTAGTTATACCAATCTTATTCTGAAATTCAGGTCCACCTTAAATTTAGTTAATTCAACTACTGTGAAAACGGAAGAGAAGCTGGAACCATCTTTTGCAGACAAAAAAGAAAAAAAGACTTCGTATTTACCTAGTTCTTGATTTTGTTATTATTTTTTCCTTGGTACCTTTTGTTTCTTGTTGGTTATAATTGCTCAAAATATATTAATTGGAACAAACTTGCATACAGCCAAATTCAAGTATGTTTCTCTTCCCTCCTGCTTTTCCAAGGTCTGATTTATGACAGTTGGTTAATTAAAATTTCCCATACAGGCAAGATTAGGTTATCAGTTGTCTCTAAGGAGATGGTGCTTTTTTCTTGATCTTTTTCCCTTGTTGCATTTCAGTTCTCATTAATTGGAGTTGCTTAAGATATGTTAGTTAAAAGACACTCAGATGAAGCAAATCTTCTTGCTCCTAGACTCCTTTAAAAACCCAAACTTTTCAACTCCAAAACCAAATTTAGAGTTTGTGTTTAAGTGGGTTGTGTTCAAGTGGGTTTGTCATTTATCTTCTTTCTCCTTTCTGTCCAAATTATTTCAAACAAATGGCTCTCTTTGGGGCGATGGATTCAATACTACATTTATCTCCTTCTTTCTTTTCGCAAAAATCCCGATCTGTCCATTAATAATATTTATGCTCTCAAGGTTCTTTGCTTTTTCTAAATTCTGATTTATAACTGTGGGTTAATAGATCTTACCAGGCTTTCATCTTGCCTCTGCACACTCATGTTCAGCTGCTTTGGCCTGGAGCCAGCTCTTGTGCAGTCAGGTTGCCATGCTGCTATCCCAGCTCTGATTCAGAATGCAAATCTGACCTACGAGGGACCTGTTGCACTCCCTCTGGATCTGATGAGAAACTGCCCCTTCTTCACAACCCCACCCCCACAGTGGGTTTCTGATCCAAAAATGGATCTCAGAGACAGTTTGTAACACAGGGTTCATGTGAGACTTTTCAGGGCTCACATCCCCCACATCTGTCTAGCTGGAGAACTTCAGGTCGATTCCCGTAATCTTTGGAACTTTTGAATGGCAAGGTATATATTTTGATGACAGCTGCATAGATAAAAAAGGTATCCTGTTGAAAATGCACATTAAACATTAAAGAATATAAATATGTGAATTAGCAGGAAGTGCATCTTTATCTGCTCAGAGAACAGTTCATGAATGGATGGATTTGAATATGTCCTTCCATAGTTGTCCAGTTTAAAGCAGATTTTGATTTTGTGATGGTGTTCATCAGTGAAAACATATGGGTGAGCCAATTTGATTAAAATCAAGACTACTTTCAAAGGGCCCAAATGAGTAATGGTATTTTCAGCTTTTTACATTAGGCAAAAATAGCAAATGAAGAAGGAAATTATTTAATAAAATTATGCATGTTGAGTGGTTAGGAAGAATTTTTTCTCAAAATATCAGATATAAATACAGTGAAGCTGAATGGTAAGAGGGTTAAATCTGATTAAAGGAAGCTGACAGGTAGAATTTGCTATGGTTTAGCAATGGTCAATAATTTGAATGGTTGTAAAAGCAAATGAAAGAAATATTATTTGTAGTCATTACTCATGATAGCTATATAATACTTACAAAAACAATAAGTTCCATTATTTCCTAATAAATGTAGTCCAGGGGAATATTGTGTTCCTATCCTGCTTTTTGGCTTTCCTAGTGTAAGGTAAAGGTTCCCCTCGCACATATGTGCTAGTTGTTCCTGACTCTAGGGGGGGTTTCATCTCAGTTTCAAAGATTCATCTATGTTTCAAAGCTGAAGAGCCAATGCTGTCTGAAGACATCTCCATGATCATGTGGCCGGCATAAATAAACGCCAAAAGTACACGGAACACTGTTACCTTCCCACCAAAAATGGTTCCCATTTTTCTACTTGCATTTTTACATGCTTTTGAACTGCTAGATTGGCAGAAGCTGGGACAAGTAATGGGAGCTCACTCCATTACATGGTGCTAGGGATTTGAACCGTCAAACTGTTGACCTTTCTGATCGACAAGCTCAACGTTTTAGCCACTGAACCACTGCATCCCTTGTTCCTAGTGTAGACTAGATGAAAATGTGATTGGTTCATCTGGCTGTGTTCCACCATCTCCTAAAGCTAAATTTAAGGCTGCTTCACTTGTTCTAGATTAAAATTATACATACATGTGCAATTTAAAGTGACTGGGAGAATCTTGATCATTAGCATTGAGAGAAAGTTCCAGGCACATGCTGACTTACTTGTTCTTTATTAAATCTTGTGTTCCTTAAAATTAAACAAAAGCATTTTGGATTTTGTTTATTGACTTTTGATAGGCAGCAGTACCATAAGAGACAGTGTACAAAAAGGCTGGAAAAGAAACCAAAATCAAAAGAAACGATATAAACTTGCTAGCTACAATATTTAACACAAGCTTTTATTATTGACTATTATCTTTTTTTTATGATTATAAATTCTCATCTTACATCTGTATAAATATATTGTATAATAGTGTTGAGGCTAATCATGTGATTATGACTTGTCTTATATCTCAAATTATGTTCCCTTTTTTAGGAATGCATCATGAAAGGTGCCATATGTACAAGAGTTTATGAGAAAATGTAACAAAACTTGAAGTTTATACCAGATGAGACCAGTTCTCCACATCATTTCCTTGAATGGCCGAGGAATTGCCATTTCTGTTCATCTTTTCCTTTTTTGCCTTTTACTGGAGAGCAACTAAACTATAAGTATTCATTTAAAAATTTAAGAAAGTAGATCACATTTGAGACTAAATAAATGCTTACCATTGTATAACATGTAATTTCAGTAAAATTAAATGGTTTCATCTAGCCTTCCTGAATATTTTGTTAATGAGTCGTTCTTATTCCATAGTGATGCATTCTTGCACCAGAGAATCTATAGTCATTTTACACAGAAACAGGAATATTCATAATTTCTTTAAATTATATGTTATACAGCCCAGGTATGCTAATCTGGGTTCCTTGACAATATATAATAAAATATTCACTGTCTCTTAATGAAAGGCAAGATTTCATCTCTTTCATCTCTTAATGAAAGATATTGTTTTCTCCTAAAGCTGTGCTGTGAACTTAAGACAAAAACCCAGCTGTCCAACAAGAACCCAAAAACTTGTTGGGGGATGTTGGACCTGGTGGTGGTCCCATTCTCTGGGTTTGTCCAGGAGCAGTTATCTGGGAAGGTGCCATTTGCTGGAAGAGGGCAGGTGTCCATTGACATTGAGCCCATCCATGACCCGGGATGAATGCCCACCCTTGGTTTGCTTGATTTATGGGTTCAGAGTCATCCCTTTGCAGCTGTGGGGAGGTGCATGTGTTCCAGGCCTCTTTCTGCCGGCTGGATTGACCTCCCCTATTTGGAGGGGGGTCTGGTTGCACTCCAGTAGGAGGGAGGGGTGCTGATGTGACTGCTCTAGGCATTAATCCAGCAGCAAGGATGTGGGTTGATTCATTAGCTACTGTATGGAAGGAGCCCACGTCTCCACTCCACTTGGCAGAAATTTCCCTGCGAGGAAAGGAGAATGTGGGTGGTGCCAGGGTCCACTGAGGGGGGTCTCTGAAGAGGGGAGGGTTTTTATTTCACCCACGTTTAGCCATAGGAAATGATCTGGGAGGCCCATTAGAGAAGGGCTGTGGGAGGGCAGTTGAGTTCTCCATTCATCAGATCTTCTGGTAATCATCCAGTCATCTGTCAAAGTTTCCCTGGCAACCCTCTCTTCTTCTAGCAGGCATTCCTTAGAAGTCATAAAACTTGAGGCCTCCTCACGGAAGTCCTTTTGCAGGGCCACCAATCTCTGCAGCTTCTATTAATTCCTTAAGAGGTACATCTTTAGCCTCGGCCAAATTAATTGAGCCAACAAATTTAGGGAGTTGGGGGCCCGGTGAAAGGACTTCCATGAGGAGGCCTCAAGAAGTGTGGATTCACATTAGGCTAAAGTAGTTCTCAGCTTAGTTCAACATCATTTGAAAGTGTCATCCTGACTATGCACAGCAGATAGAAAACATGGCCAGATAAGATAATTCTGCTTTATTATAAAGCTACATTAATAGAATCTTGCAAGTCTCTTCCCTCCCCTTATCTTTACAGCCCAATAGGATAGGGAAGATCTCTTCAGGAGCCTCTTGACTCACCCATTATGCATCTGTGGGCTGTGCTCCCTCTTATCAGTCAATTCCCTAGGCAGCATCTCTTCACCAGGACTCTCAAGGTCATTACCACATACCAATCCAAAAAGTAGATCACACTTTTTTGTGTCACTTTCCTAATTATCAACTTCACAGCAGAAAGGGAAGTGGGAGTCAGCCCCCCCGCTACCCAAATGAAAGGCTTCACACTTTTTGGTCCTTGGTCCTACCTACCAATTCATTCAACTTCATTCAACATTGGCAGTGGGTACCTAACCAGATACGTTTGGATGAGGCAGGTGCATGGATGTGTTAAAAAAAAATCATGGCAGCTCTGATCATGGACACTATTTTTTGAAAATTTCACTGTCTCAAACCAATGTAATCTTCTTTAGCTTGTACCTTCTTGACGTGTTGGAATAAAGTTCACAGATTTCAATTTATGATACCTCCAAGTGCATTTGGAAATGAGCAGATTAAGTAAGGTTTTAAGGAATATAATGTTCGATGATAAAAAGTTTTCTTACACCTGATTAGAAGTGATGTTTTTCCTCTCAGAATTCAACCTATACATGAGGAGATGTTTAGTTCTGCTATTCATAGCCTTTAAAAGGTTTGCTTCATTTTGTTTGTTCATATCTAAATTACTGGCCTAGTATGCTTTATTCCTCAAAAATACTTTTTTATTTTCCATTTTCATAACATATAATCACATGTATGCTATCACATAGCCAATATCATATTGTATTAATTAATAATTACATCAGTCCATCTTGCCATCAACTCCCGGGAAAAAAAAACTAAAATATATAGAAACCAATTATTGGCTCTTCTGCTCTCCATAGTATGCTTTATTAAGAGAGAGAGAGAGAAAAAAAATGCAGCTGCTCAGCTCTGCAACAGATCTGCCTGGCACTTTCTCTATAGAAAAATAATGATTAGCAACTGTGTCATGGGAATTAAGAGTTTTTCCAGAACAGGAAAAGTGCAACTGTGCTGATAGCACAGGAAAAAAAATAGATGAGGTAGATGGTACATCCTATTGATGAATAGGCAGCATGCAATCAAATTCTAAACCTTTGTTTTAGCAGGGACTCAGGTGGGTGGAGGGGCCCTGAAACTGCTCCAATATTTCTAAAAACGATCAGACTACATCCTGTGCTTCAGTTTAATATAATTTAGACACACCAGACATAACTGAATATATACACATAGGATACAGCTCCAGCCACTTGTCCATTCACCACTTCTTTTCTCCATCCAATTTAGTTAATAACCTGAATGGACCATTTTCCCCTTTCATAGATAGGTGTCAGAGTATTATAATAAAACTCAGGTCTTGTTTTCACTCTGCCAAGTAGGAATTATGCACCCTTATAGTGCTATTAAAAATAAGATAAGAATACTATAATGATTAATAATAATAAGTATTACAATCAGATTATATTGAAGGCAGCAATATAAGGAAAACAAATATAGAAATGTTACCTCAAGTTAGTTTGTTTGTCTAGCCAATATTACCTATTTTAACAGTTAACAGGTTCCTAAGATCAAGAATGGAAATATTTTATAGTACTTGCTCTTCGGTTACTTATACTGGAGAAATCACAGCTCCAGATCTCATAACATGTATGGACATCAAATTTATTTAAAAACTGCAATTAACTTCATTTATACTTTATGGTAAACCATAGTATAAAAGCCTTGGTGCACATACTATACCAAGCTAAAACCAGGGCTTAATGAGGCTTAGCGTGGTCATTCTGAACCTTGATGTGTTGCCAAGATTTCCTGTAAATCTGAATATCTAGAAGATACGAGAATGGAGAAGATTGGCTTAGCAAAATATGAAAATAAGGCCTGGGTTTTATTATAATACTCTGACAGTTTTCTGTGAAAGAGGACAATGTTACGAGGCATTCATAAGCAGAGGCTAACCCATTAAGATTCTCATTAAATATCTACAGTGATCTTCTTATACTCACAGTATATTCATGATTATCAGTTCCAGGAACAGTATGTAGGAGATATTTTAATCATGATCAACTTAGAGTCAATAGATTTTAATCATGATTAACTTAGTGTCAGTAGATTTGAATGACCTATGAACCCTGTAAATATTGAAGTAAAATAAAACAACTGCAATGAAAGAGACCATTTTGCTGATATCCTCCTTGTGATCTTCCTGGATGTGTCTGGCTGGACATGGTGAGATACTGAACTCAAAATAGATGGCCCTTAGCCTAACATGGTGGCTTATTCACATGGTTTGTTATTTTTGAGTGGCATGGTACAATTGCAACTTTAGCACTGATGAAATTTTTCATGAATTTATTAGATATAAATTTGTAGTATACTCCAGACAGTGAAGTTGATTGGTTATTACAGCTACACTCATACATTCTATTACTCCATAACCAATCTGTTGGCATTTTGATAATTTAATACACTCTTCACACCTAGAGACTGTTATGTCATGATGCATGTTAAGACAAACAGTGGGGACTTAGCACAAAAAATGAACCTGGCCAGTCATAGATATGAATAAAAGTGTATAGACCAAGGGTGCATCAGGGTTGAGTTTGACCTCAGGGGCCAGGGTGGGCATGGCAAGCTTGACATCATTCATATCAGGGGTGCCTATGATGGCTTGAGCACTCTGCCAAGGAAAACAGGCTCCTGAGCTCCATTTTTGGCCGCAATGGCCTGAAGCTCTCTGCCAGTAAAAATGGAGCTTAGGTGGGCCATGCTTGCTTCCCCCTCCCCAAGCACTGTTCTCAGCTGTGACAGCCTCCTGCAGCCCTCTGTCAGTGAAAATGGAGCTCCATTTTTGCTGGCAGACAGCTGCAGGAGGCCATTGTGGCTGAAAATGAAGCCTGGGTCCCACATGTGGTCCTCAGGAGCTCTATTTTTGCTGGCAGTGGCACTGTGAGCCAGCCCTTCGCTGTTTCCAGGTCATGCCCACAGGCCGGATAGAAGCACACCACTGGCTGGATCTGGGCCCCGGGCCTTGAGTTTGATACCCCTGGTGTAGACTGTAGTGTACAGTGAGTTAAGTCTACTTTCACAATTACACTCAGATCCACAAATGATACCTTCTAATTGGGTTTCCATTTGACAAACTGGCTAAATAACAGTGTTTTGATATCCTTGACAATTCATGGTATTAATCCCCATGTTTATTAAGAAAGAAATGATACATTTTGCTACTTAAGAAACCCTGCACTGGGTAATAGGCCATTGTACTTCAGATGGAAATATAACTTCCTGAAAATAATAGTAACAAAATTTGGATTAAAGTTCAAAACCTCATTAGAAAATAATCAGTGCTGAAAGTTTTGTGCAACATAACTTGTATCAGAAAGTTCCTCTAGGCTTTGGATTATATCAACTTTTCAACATACTTTCCCATATGTTTTTTTTTTCTGGTAACAATATAAAACATTTATTTAAGGAAATGAAAGGCTCAGGGGACTTTGAGCAGAATAGCCAAGGCACATTTGTTAGATGAAGAATCTGATTCAGGGCCAAGCAATTTGACCCTGAAAGTTGTTTCCATATGTGGACAAATATCACACAGACTACTTTGAGTTAGTTTTTATTTTCTTTAAAAGGGAAAAAGAGAAATACAGATATATTTGTCAGCAGTTTACAATATGTGGATGACTATGTGTCTTTTCGTTTTCATTTTTAAAAAATATGTCAGAA